CTAAAGGCCCAGATACTAGCATCACCAACGCTAAAGGCCCAGATACTAGCATCACCAACGCTAAAGGCCCAGATACTAGCATCACCAACGCTAAAGGCCCAGATACTAGCATCACCAACGCTACAGGCCTGGATACTAGCATCACCAACGCTACAGGCCCGGATACTAGCATCACCAACGCTAAAGGCCCAGATACTATCATCACCAACGCTACAGGCCCGGATACTAGCATCACCAACGCTACAGGCCCGGATACTAGCATCACCAACCCTACAGGCCCGGATACTAGCATCACCAACGCTACAGGCCCGGATACTAGCATCATCACCAACGCTAAAGGCCCAGATACTAGCTTCACCAACGCTACAGGCTAACATACTAGCCTCCCTGCTAACAGTCAGCAGTGCTGAGACGCCATGACAGGAGGAGGAGTCTGTCATGGTTTCCAGTCCTCCAGATGCAGGCAGAACAAAGATCATGATCTGATGCTTGCAGAGGAAGTCCATCCGTCTGGGAGAAAACGTCCAAACTGCTCATGAAGGGTTTGATCTTCTGTTTCATCATCTGAGGCGGAGCTGCTGCTGCTCAGACATTCAGGTCCCTGAAGGCAACGTCAGGAAAACATGAAGCTAGAAGATGTTTGGTCGGCATCATGGACACGTTTCATCCTCAGTCCAGTTTAGGGACCCAGAGCTCCATCCCATCATCCGTCCCTCGATGGCGGCCCTCTGGTCGCCAACAGCAGCTTTATTTCCCAAGGACACCAAGACTGGAACAGAGCTGCAGGTCTTCCAGTCAGACGGTGGATCCAGTTTCAGCCGGACATGCATGGCTTTAACCCAAGAGGACTGAACCATCTGAGGTTCCAATCACTGGATGACAAACAGCAGGATCCAGATAACCTGGATCAGCCACTCTTCTTGTTCTTCCTGTGGATTTAAGGGTGGGCAGAATCCCCTGGTCCTGACAGGCATGGAGGATCAGTGCTAAACATTAACTTTATTCCTGTTCCTCATTACTGGCAGACAGCTGATGCAGCATCATGTGTTCATAGTAACGGAATACATGGCGTTGATTCAGAAACTCACAGCTGTCTGCTGACAGTGGGCCCGGCGCCGCGCTCAGTGGGAGAGACGTCTGTGGTTTTACCAGGCGGAGGATAAAACTGGGCCTGAAAGAAGCAGTCAGACTACAGATGGAGAGAAACAAAGACAGACGGCCTCTGCTGGATGGGCTGAAGATCATTCCTACCCGGATTCCTGTTAATGCGGAGAATCCAGAGTGAGCGTCGGACGCCTCAGCAGACGCCATCTTTCTGGTCAGCTCGGCCTCATTGAGCTGCTTGTTCAGCCAGTTGATGACTGGAAAACAGTAAATGTGGGAGATTAAGGGTCAGATCAGGATCAGGTCCATGTTTCTCCATTTCCCTTAGTGTTGCACCGATACCGATGGCCGATACCGATGGCCGATACCGATGGCCGATACCGGTGGCCGATACCGATGGCCGATACCGATGGCCGATACCGATGGCCGATACCGGTGGCCGATACCGATGGCCGATACCGATGGCCGATACCGGTGGCCGATACCGGTGGCCGATACCGATGGCCGATACCGATGGCCGGTACGATGGCCGATACCGATGGCCGATACCGATGGCCGATACCGATGGCCGATACCGGTGGCCGATACCGATGGCCGATACCGATGGCCGGTACGATGGCCGATACCGATGGCCGATACCGATGGCCGATACCGATGGCCGGTACGATGGCCGATACCGATGGCCGATACCGATGGCCGATACCGATGGCCGATACCGGTGGCCGATACCGATGGCCGATACCGATGGCCGATACCGATGGCCGATACCGGTGGCCGATACCGATGGCCGATACCGATGGCCGATACGATGGCCGATACCGGGGCCCCGATCCAGCACTGAAAGGGTGGTATCGGTACCGGCCCATACTGCACAGCCAGGTAAATGGCTTCGGTGAAACACTAACTTCCGTGCTCCAAATCCTTTAAAAAAACTCGGCCTGTTGGCTTCAACCAAGCTTTGCTTTCAGATTCGGTGAAATGATGCGAAGAAGAGGCCATTTTGATTTCCCTCTGCACTGACTCTAGATGTTTGACTCCAGACTTTCATTGATTTGATGACCTTTTTCCCACAGAACACTGAGGCAGGATTTTACCATCGTGTGATAGAGATCACTACGACACATAGACCTGTTTCTAGATGCAACCTTCTGTGGCAGCAGATCGACTTTAAAGGCTGCAGTGAGGAAGAATCTCTTGTTTAATGAAATGCTTCCTAAATACTGAGTCTCTGTCAAATTCAGATCATATCGCTACTCGATCCTTAAAGATTTTCCACTGATGTCAGACGTTGGTTTGATGCAAAGGCTTAAAGTCCCTCTGGAAACCAGCAGGGTGCTGATTTCAGCAGCTTTGCAGGCTTTGCTCCTGTACCTCCACCACTAATCAGCAGACCCTATTTTTCTTTGTAAAGGTTATTTACAAAAACTGTGTCTGAGTTAACCTCCAGTTTAACAAATGTCACTGCATGCAGTCGCTATAGCATCTAATAGGGCTGGGTGATATGACCTCACAGTAATATCAGGATAAACTGGGCAGTTTAACCTCCATAAACGCTCCTCTATCAGAAATAAAGCCCAGTGCAGGAAAGGCAGCTGATCTATTTATAATCTAGTTATTGAATTAATCACGTTACATATTACTTTCTATTCAATATTAAATTCTTGAAGCCATTCACGTTTAAACATTCATCAGTGTCTGACTGAACAGGAGGAAATCGCTTTAGCTGACCTTTGACCTCCACAGCGCTGCAGGAGGCTGGATGTGTTACTCTGGTTATTCCCCACAGTCTGCAGACTAACTTTGCATTTCCTGTTCCTTTGATCAACATCTATGGCGTCATGTTGGTTCCACTGATCTGAGCGTGCGGCGGGAAAAACGGGGATCGTTTAAACTCGCACACCTTCCCTATAAACCGCTCTGCTGCGCGCTCAACTCTGACATCACGCTGTCAGCTTCATCTCTGCTCTCGCTCGGCTCCACAGGAGGATCTGATGTCATTTCCTTTACAGCCGTGTTAGCGGCGTGTTCGCTGAGCTCATCCTCCATTCTCTTTGTTTACCCTTCTGATTGGATGGATGGAGTCACATGATCAGACCAGCGCTGCTGTGTGTTAAAGGGGAATAAAAGACCAGCCTCCAGCACAAGCAGGAAAAACAGCAGAATTCAGTTGATCCATTTAATGGGAAAACTGTTGCTGGTTATCGTAGGGAATGACGGTAAAAATCTGCTTAATCTCCCAGCCCTAGTATCTAATGAGCAAATATAAAAGGGAATTAATGTTTGTGGTTAAACTTTAATATGCCTTGCTCGATAAGCGCAGAAGAAGCTACTCCTCACCATTTTCGTTGGTTTTTAATACTTCTTTGCTTTCATTCAGCTTCTGAACCGTCACCTCCAACTGCTCCTTCAGTTGTTTGATCTGCAAAACAAGAAAACAGACAAACAGTTCAGTATCTCTTGTGTTAATGTTTACATTTCATGTGCTTGTTGAATCATTGTGTGTCTGTGGATCACATCTGACTTTGTGAATATTTAGACTCTACCTTTCTGATACATCAAGACAGTCAGGTTATCCAGAGCTATCGCTATAGCTACGCTGCTATGGGCTAAAGCCTCATTTCCCGGCTAGCACCGCGCTAGCACGGTTCCTCGCCTCCTAGTGGCATGCCTGGCTGTGTGTTTCCTGGACGGGGCCGCCTGTGGAGCTGGTTGACAGTTGCCTTTTGTATCTATGCTTCTTTTTCTATGTCTGCTTCTGTCAGGGGCAGAGCCA